GGGGCGACCCCTCCCCCACGTGGGGCGACCCCTCCCCCACCACTCAATCAATCCATCAACAAAAAAAAAAAAGCAAAATCGGATGAATCTTCCGTAGAACATGGCGAAGGACACCCAAGACATAGCAAGCAGATCGGCAGCAAGGCAGCAGAGGCTGCAGAGCAGTGAAGCACAAAGCAACACTGACAACACAGCCACACCACGCAGTGAACACAAGAGCTTGCCATGAACGACACGCGAAGCAAGCGGATGGGCAGCATAGCAGCACCGGAGCGCAGAAACTGCGATTTCGTCAAAACGGACATTTTTTAATTTTTTGAACGAAATTGAAACTGACTAAATTAGCACGATCCAGCCCGATTCAGGTCGAAACTTTGATGAAATTGAGGGTCAGGCACTCTTAAAACGGCGTACCCCCTGGACTCCAGCTCCGTCCAGATACATCCAGGACCCCATGGACTCTAGCTAAGTCCAGATACATCCAGGACCCCATGGACTCCAGCTAAGTCCAGATACATACAGGGGGTAGGGCGTTTTAAGAACGCTGGACCCTCAAAAGCTACAAATTTTGACCTGAATGGGGTCAATTTAATCGGTTTGAATTTCTTTCGAAAAAAAAAATGTCCGTTTTGACGAGATCGCTATTCAGACAAGGCAGTCCACGCAACCAACATGGAGCGAAGCGGCACATCACCTACTGACATCACTGGTGAACCTCCAAACTGTTGGTTCCCACCACCCACTGAGCCAGGAAGTCACTCCAACAAATATCTGTCCTCATCCACAGGCAACACAGACATTCCGAACTGAGCAGGCCCCTAATGGTGCCTTAGACACTCCAAATGAGGAACCACCGACTGTTTGGCACTACTTAAGGGTGCTCAGTTGGATGAGTAAAAGTTCAGCCAGGAAGTCACTTCAACAAACATCCATCATCACACGTTAGGAAAGACTGACATCCTGAACTGAGCGGCCGCCCTGAGAGTGTTGCAGGCACTCCTAACAAGCAATGACCGACTATTTGGCAATGCTTAAAAATGCTCAGAGTCTTTAGGAAAAACTCGGACAAAGAACAAACGACAAGAGAAAGAGACAGACATAAATTTAAACTGATTGTATATGTGTGTGTGTGTGTGTGTGTGTGTGTGTGTGTGTGTGTGTGTGTGTGTGTGTGTGTGTGTGTGTGTGAGTGTGTGTGTGTGTGTGTATGTGTGTGCTGTCATATCTGCTCTACTCTCAAAACAAGCACAACTGTGCCAGACTGTTTCGTCGGAGTTTCACCAACTCATCAGGAGGGCGTGTGTGTGTGTGTGTGTGTGTGTGTGTGTGTGTGTGTGTGTGTGTGTGTGTGTGTGTGTGTGTGTAAGCAGCAAATAAAAGAATGTTGGCCAGTAATAAGGCAGAGTATTCATTCATTGGATACATTGCAAAAGAAAAGTCCTGAATTCGCAGTCTGGGGATGCACCTCGCACAGACTAAGCCTGATTGCTAGAGTCTCCATCAGAGAAAGCAGTACTTAATAACCGGTGGGCTTGCCTAAAGAAACACGTGAACGTTGGCCGGCGGTGGCCGCCTTATTCACACAGAACAGAGGGCAGAAGGTCGACTTCACAAACATAAAGGGCTTCAGAATGCTCTATGATCTTTTTTTTTTTTTTTTTTTTTTTTTTTCCCTGTTCCGGGTGTTTTGGACTCTGGAGCAAGTCTGAAAACGGAAATGTCAGTGGCGGACACAACGGAACGATGAAGTCCAAAACACCTATGATGGTCATGAATATGTTTTACCCACACATAACAGAAGTACAAAATCAATCCACTTTTTCGGAGAGAGCCCAAAAAATTGAAAAAGACGGTGGCGCACACACACACACACAAAAAAAAAAAAAAAGCCGGTGGGTCCAGACTCCAGACCGATATCAGAAAAGACAGTAATAGGGCACTCAAAAATTTATCGGGTTCTTTTTTTCCAAATTTACTGGCTGTTTCTTTTTCACTGATTCAGTGGTCTAGTATTTAGGGTCTGAGGTCTTAGGGTTTAGGCTTTAGGGTTTAGACCATTTAGGGTCTAGGGTTTAGGGTTTAGACCATTTAGGGTCTAGGGCTTAGGGTTTAGGGTTTAGGCCGTTTAGGGTTTAGTGTTGGGGGTTAAGGCCATTTAGGGTTGAGCATTTAAGCCATTAGGGTTAGGGTTTCGTGGCCCCTAAACACTACCCAACGACGAACACCCAACCTAGACCCTAAATGGCCTAAGGCCCTAAACCCCAAAGCCTGGGTCTGGTTTTTAGGGTTTAATCCCTTTTAGGGTTTAGGGTTGAGTGTTTG